GATGTCCTGAAGGGTGGAGAGGGTGGCTCCCCGGGACCTGAGTCTCCCAGCCAGGTGCCTAGTGCGGGGTGGTGTGAGCCCTTCATTCTTTATATCCCTCGGCTCTTGGCAGGAATACCCAAAGCGCTGAAACAGGGCTTCTGGAAGCCGCTTGAAGTTGCTCCCGTTCTCAGCTCCCACAGGGAGGCACCGGGATTTAGGGAGCATCTTCTTTCTGCTGCACTAAGAAAGTTAAAATCCTGTTTCTTTTCACAGTTATTTGGTTCTCTAGAGAAAACTGCCTTCTCTTAGAAGTTACAGTTCTGTCCTCAGTCCCTGCTCGGCTGTTAATCCTCTCAGCCAGGCCCTTCCCGCCCTGCAATTCAGTCTCTACGGGGGGGGGGGTTGAGAAACGAGGTGGCCAGGTGATCTGGGACGGTAGGTGTTCAACACTTGAGCACATGTCCAGCAGCCCAGACATTTACATGAAACCACACCAAACGGGGCTACACGTGCTCCGAGTACCGCCACGTCATGCAGCCCCCGGCACACGCAGAGGCTTACGTGAGGAACAAAGTGTCAAGACATACAGGAATTCTAACACGTTTTCAAAATGGCCACAACCGTTGGAGCCAGGTCCTGAAGAGACATTCCTGGGGAAAAGATGGTTCTAGTTTGGCCCGTGTCCGGTCCTGACGTGGCCTCCACCCCGCCCCCACGCCTACCACCTCGGCTGAGTCAGGCGCCTGTTTCTGTGTGTCTCGGGGGTCCCCTCTGCCCAGGATGTCATTCCACTCATCCAGACCAGTCTCCCGAGGATGGGGACGGCCTTGTCTCCTGGCGTTCCCAGTTCCTCAGTCACCACGGCTGGTGGGACCAGCAGGGCGGGTTCCCTCAAGGGTACAGCCAGGCAGATGGCATCTTCTTGCAACCTGAGCAGCTTAGCACGGGCTGTCACACACCCCGGGCCTGGAAGAGGAGCAGGGGTCACGCCCACCATCCCGGGACTACAGCGGCCCCAAGACCCCTCTGTGCCGGTGCTGCTGTGTTGCCCCGGCCCACCCCAACAGGACCAACCCCTGACTCGTCTGAAACGCTGGGAGCAGACGGCCTATACATGGTCCAGATGTGTCTGTTGGGCTTGCTTTCCTCCCAAGCAGGACTTAAAATGGAAGAGGTGAGGAAGCCCGTCTATGGGAGCTGGGAAAATTTTGAAAAGTCGGGGCTCTGACAGCAGAGCCTTCACCGCGGGGCCTTCCTCCCCAGGTGGGGCAGGGTTTGCAGCCCAGGGCCCTACCCTCCACAACTTCGCGAGCATGTCAGATCCCCTTCAAGCCTCTCGGCCTGAGGCACGGGAGCCAGCAGCAGCTCTGTCCAAAAGGATGGGGGCTCCACAGGGGTGGCTGCCGGCCAGCCCCTGCTGCACTGCCCCAGCGGCCCTGCTCGAGGGAGGGCAGCTGTCGTGCTCATGAGCTGGCACAGCCGCACAAAGAACGCACAGCCATGTCCAGGACGTGTTGGCACGGGTGAGGGGCTG